GTGAGTTAGATTAATTTCAGATAAAACTGCTTCTGCTTTGACATTTCAAGTATATGTATCTTGCATTCATAGTATGAAGCTCATCTTGTTTGTAATCCTTTTCTTTAATATACAGATTATAATTTTCTCAAGTACAAGTATCAGGTAGAAAGGTGTGAAAGAAAATTTCTTTCAGGAAGATTTTCATTCTTTTTAAACTTTTTAATGAGATGATTTGGAAGAACATAACTGTCTATAAAGAAGACTTAATTAAACATGACTTACTAGGCTGCAAGTCCTAAGAACTCAGCAGAGAGAAGACTAGTGCAGCTGTTGAAGCCCTAAACTGTGCAAAAGAAGAGGCATCTTGGATAAATTTTGGGGGTTTAAAATTAGATGATGGCTTACAGCTAAAACTGTAAAAAGATGAAAACAAGAGGAGAATGTTGGAGTTACACAGAATTCTTGAGGGTATTTTTATAATTGGAGATTGACACCTATAGTTTATTTCAATGGAATAAAAAATCTGAAAATATGAAAAAATTAATGAATTTACTCTGTTGCTTTCCTGGAACATACCTCATCTCATGAAGGCAGCGCGGTCTGCGATTACAGACGCACAGGGAGTGAGATGTGGTTGGGAGGGGGGGCTGGCCATGCACTGACCTCAATCAACACTCTGACCACTTCTTGCTTGGCCAAGTCCTTTTCCGACTTTGCTGAAATGTTGCTAAGTGGTGTCGGCCCCGGAGTGGTGCCCCTCTGAAAATGTGCTGGAGGATCTTGCAGACTGCAGAAGCCGACTGTAAAAAGATCCAATTATTTATAGTCAGACCAAATGAGGCAGGCAGCTTATCTTTCGTGGTGCAGTCGCTCAGTTACCTCGCTTCGTTCTCTGCATTACAAAAAAGGCCTAACTCTGCAATCTTTCATCGCTTCTGAATGCAGACAGTTTTTGCAATATCAATGATATTTTTATTATGAAGCGATATTTCAGGATTTTGCCTTTTCCTTTTCTAGTTTTAAACGGTAGGCTGTGTTTGAGTGCGGATTACGTGAATTTCACAGGCACTCTCCAGGAAACTCTGTCAAACAGTTCAAGGTTATTTAAAAAACAAATCCTGGCGTGTCAGTTTGAGCCTTTTACTCTGTAACGTACTCTATACTATTTTCAGCAAACTGATTTTTTCAACCAGTTAAACTCTTAACCAGTTCCCCTCTCTGTCCCAGAAAGTGCCTCTTTCTTCTTCCTTGTGGCTTCAAATATAGCAAAACACATTTGCATTTTGCAAGACTAATCACAGAATTAAACACTAGTAGCACTTTCAGATTACTTGGATTTTACAGAATAAGCAGTCAATCCCTTGATTCGCTTCTACGCCTTTATCCTACTCACCGAGGAGGAATTTCACTTCCTTGTCCAACGCATTGCTACAGTTTCTTGGGTACCACTGTACACCATGGACAGCAAGCCTGTGGTTAAAAAAAATCAACATATCTTTATCTCGCACTTGTACTGTCATTGAGTCCATATAACTGTTTTGTATACGAGTTTACTGAACACTGTTAAGTAAGTGCCAGTTTGTCCCATGTGTAACTGTTCCAAGTACATAAGAAGCTGTAAGGCAGTGGTTCCCAACCTTTTTTGTCTTATGTACCCCCACAACCCTTTCAATATGGCTCAAGTACCCCCTCATCCACACCAAAGCAGTATGATCCTAAATGTGTTCGTTTTAACTGATATTAAACTGGATATTATTAATAATATTATTAAACAGAATATTATTATAATGATTCACTTTCAACCAAAAGACCAATTATTGATACCGTGAGTGGGGAAAAAACCAGAGTCAGACTCACCAAGCAGATTCATCTCCCTTTAATGAGACACCTGAGCTTGTTTGTCTTTCAAACGTTTTGACAGTTCTGGGGGCAGTGTGGCTGCGGCTGGAATCAGGCTGTACTCCACATTGAGTCTCTTCTTCTGCTTGGTTTTAAAAGGTGCTCAAAGTTGAGAGCCGCTTTACACAAGTAGGTAGATCCAAAGGGTAAAAGTTCATTAATAATAATAATAATAATTGCTTACACTTATATAGCGCTTTTTCTGGACACTCCACTCAAAGCGCTT